CATGCATGGTTAAGAGATTGTTTCAAAGAAAGATGGGGCAGTTGATTTTAATGGAGTATTAAAAGTTCATTGGGCTTCCCTGGTGGCGCAGTGGTTGAGAGTCTGCCTGCCGATGCAGGGGACACGGGTTCGTGCCCCGATCCGGGAAGATCCCACATGCCGCGGAGCGGCTGGGCCCGTGAGCCATGGCCGCTGAGCCTGCGCCTCCGGAGCCTGTGCTCAGCAACGGGAGAGACCACAACAGTGAGAGGCCCGGTTACCGCAAAAAAAAAAAAAAAAAGTTCATTAATATCATTTCAGAATCTAAATGCGAGGTAACTGTTGAGTTTTTGTGTAGTACAAAGAATAATATCCAAAATTGTTTCATGGTTATTAAAATACATATTCCTTTTCTAACTACGTAACTGTATAAAGCCAAATAGTCTTCATTTACTTCAGTCAAAACAACATATCAGAGGAGATTGAATGCACAAGCAGATATGAGAATCCAGCTGTCTCCTATTAATTAGACAATAACAAGATTCATAAAAATGTAAAAACATGCTACTCTGCTCACTTTAGTTGTTTGTTTGGAAAAATAGTTTTTCATAGAAATGTTATTTATTTTAATTTGGTTTATTATTGTTAATTCTAAATAAATTAAGAGATTCATATTTTTAAAATTGTCCATTTTAATTTCTAATATGGTAAATATCAATAGATATAACTCACATAAACAAAAGGTTTTTGGAGTCCTCGGTAACTTTTTATGTTGTGAAGGAGTCCTGAGACCAAAGGTACTGCTGTTCCTCCTGGCATGACATATATATTCCAGGGTGGCTGAGGGCAGGAGGAATGCTGGAGAAAGGAATAGCAGTTTCAGGAAAGGAAAATGTTTTCCCAGAAACCCTCAAGGGTAATATCTTTAGAGAGAACTTTCTTAGATATTTACCCTTCGTTGCAAAATAGTGTGAGAAAGTGAGAACTTTTGGTTGGGTCTGCTGCTGCTCAGAATAAAGTTGGAGTTCTGTTGGTGGTGATGGATATTGAGTAGACAGTTACCCATGTCTGTTACACTTAAGTTGGTGTGTGTGTGTGTGTGTGTGTGTGTAATGACTGGTCATGTTCAGAGTTTCAGGGAAACTCCCACATGAAGTTCTTTTGTTTGACTACTTTATACAGAGTCCCCAAAACTTGCTTAGACACCTCACCTCATTGTCTTCTTGTTAATTCTTGGCTTTTTCCAGGGCATGTTTGGTCTCAGTAGGCTCTGCATCTTGGCTCTACCCGCAAGGTACATTTTATTGGAGTCACATATGGACTTGCAAAATCATTGACAGGACTGATCAAATTGTGAAATGTCCCATATTTTTCAATAGAGCTTCTCTTTATCTTTGTGATTTGGTAACTTTCTACATTAACAAAACTTTCCTTTCTCACACCTTAACTCAGTTTTTTCCAATCTATTTATCAATCTGTTCCCTGACTGACTTATTTGTATTAACTCAATTGTGAGCTCACTGCCATCTTTTACACAGAAATTTACCTTTTCAGTAGTCATGATTTGCTTTATAAAAAATGAGTCATAGCCTTTATGGATTATTCTGGCCTGGGATTTAGAATCAGACTTGCATCTTAAAGTGTGGCCTGGGGACCAGCAGCATGGGAGTCACCTGGGAACTTATAAGAAACACAGAATCTCAACCTACCTCAGACCTAACAATCTTCATTTTAGCAAGTCCGTAAGTAATTCAAGTGCACAAAGTTTCAGAAGGACTGGTCTAAGGGAGACAACAAGTGAGAAGAGGGCATGGAGCTGTGTTCTGAGGAGGCTTCTTGTTTAATGTAGACAAAAAGAGTCCATAAAGAGATGTGGAGATGAGAGCCAGACAGGGAGGGAGGTGTGTGGTATAGCAGTGTGACATCTCCATGCCCTCTGAGGAAGGAGGGTGCAGTGAGGCTCTCGTCTCTCCCAGGGCTACGGGATGGTGGGACCCACTGAGCAGTGACGGAATGTAGTAGAGACTGTGTGAAGATAATTTGCCAGGGTTTTTATCACTTAGGCATTGAAGCTTAATTTCAGCTTGAACTGGATTGGAACTCTTTTTCTCTTTGTTATGCCTCGTTCCAGTTCTCAACATTGATGTTTGGCAAACTTTCCTTCTTCTCATTGGGAAACTTGACATTCTGACTGTAGGAGAGAATGGTGTCACCCACTCTACCTGATGTAATTTACGTATGTGCTTTTTTTTTATGTCATTCACCTTTTCCCTAGATATACATTCCTCATTGAAACACTATTTCAAGGCACTTCTGTGGTAATGTTAACATTGGCACAGGCCTAGGAATTAGATTTATTTTTGTCGGTATTCTGTGACTGATACAGTTGTTTGTAAATGGCAGTTGCATAGTAAATAAGTATGGAATGAATGAGAAACTGACTTGAATGAGTCCTGGGATTTGCTTCCTTTCAGTAAGTCCAAATAAGTGTAGCAGTGTTTAAGGAAAAAAACCCCAAAAATATGATCTTTTGAAACTGAATTGTTACTTTCCTACCAAGTAGTGGAGAAGCAATACCAAATATTGACAGCTTTCAGCCTTTAAAACATCTGTATCTTCTGGGGCTGGCTGTTTGATTTTACCAGGTAAAATATTGAATTGTTCTAACAAGGAAGACAGAATAAAGGCTTTACATCATTAAATTTATTTCTCAAGTTCATAAAGTAAAGAGCAACCTTTAGATCTCAGTCTGGATTTATAATGTTACCTAGCTTAACAGCTAGGCTTCTCCCTAACTCAGTACCATTCTTTACGGAATAATGAATGTCAGAAGGTCTAGGACGTGAATTATTGCTGCTCAGAACTTTTCTGTAGATTTCCAGACGGTGTTATGGCCATTTCTTGTAAGGTAGCAGGTAATTTGATGGTGGTTATAATTGGTTTTCTGTACAAATTATCCAAAGCATATGGTATCTTTGTTTTAATTTAGTAGACTAAATTAAAATTTAGTAGTAAATCACCAGCAGGTGAGCCTTTAAGTTGGATTCACAGCAGTGCCGTATGTTTGTCCCTAGTACGTTCTTGACTCATGAATGAAACTTGAATGATTATAAATTTACCTTTTCTGTTGACAGAGGGACTCATTTCCCAGAGAGGTAGATTTTGGTGATATATTGCCAACACCTTGAACACACTTTATACTTTTTTCTTTTCCTTTATAACTATCTAATTGACGAACTTAAGAAAGACCAAGAAACATTCTGTGAGACTAAACACTTAATAGCACTGTCTGTACTGTATTACATTTAAGAGACTTGAACTCCTATTCCTGCTCAGATTTATAAAGTAAGGGAGAATTTAATAAAATTATTCCCAAAATTACACAAGCACATTGCTATAAAGACAAAGAAGACAACATTGCCAAAACACGTGCTGACTGCAGGCTACTTGGGAGGTCTTGAAACACTTCTTCATCATCATTTTAGTCATATCAAGTGTTCAGGAGCCAAGCGTACAGAAGTCAAGGCAGTCTGTGATTTGGTGGATTGAGAGGAAGGAGAAAGTCAAAATTTTCTTGGTGGCCAGCTTTCTTTAAGGAGAGCCTTGGTGGAATGGAATCAGCTCTTCCTCAAAGGAGCTTTTAAATGAGCCACCAGTGCCTTTGTACTTCCTTCTGATCAAAGAATTTTACCTACATCTCAACCTTCTCTGATCTTCACCATGGTTATTGCATGGTGTGTGAACTGAAAACGAGAATAGATAATTTAAAAAATACACGTTAAGATCATCTCTTCCATTTGTAATAGCTTTTTTATTTAACTCATTTGATTTAGAGCAAGGCTGAGTGGATTCAGGGAAGGTTACTTTATTATTTTTAAAACTCAAATTTACATTTGGAACATTTGCTTTTTTTAGAAGTTTATAGTGTGGAATATTATTGTATTTGTTTGCTAGGGCTACCATAACGAAGTACCACAGACACAGACTGGGTGGTTTAAACAACAGGAATTTATTTCCTCACAGTTCTAGAGGCTAGAAGTCCAAGAACAAGGTGTCAGCAGGTTTGGGTTTTCCTGTGGACCCTTTTGCTTAATGTGTAGATAGGTGGTATCTTCTCCCTGCATCTTCTGTGTATATCTGTGTCCTAATTTCCTCTTCTTCTAAGGACACCATTCATATTGGATTAGGGCCCAGCTTTAATGGCCTCATTGTAACATAGTTACAATGTTAAAGATTCCCACCTCCAAATGTAGTGGCATCGTGAGTAATGGGAGTTAGGACTTCAACATATAAATTGGGGATGGGAGGTTAACAATTCAGTCTGTAACAATTGTGTATCAGGGAGGTCAATTTAAAAGCAGAAAGAACAGGCAGAATTACAGGAAGAAATGAAGAGAACGTAAATGAAGGCATTGACAGTAGAAATGGAGATGGGATTTGAGATTGAGAGACATTAGGGAGGAAGAATTTGTTTTTAAGACTTTGTGGCTTGAAGGTGGAGGAGTGTGAGACGGAGGAGGCTGGCAGGACTCTCAGATTTCTCTAACCCAGGAGGACAAACAGGCTTGAGGGAGTAGGTGTGAGCTGTGCAGTATCCCTGCAGAGTACCCAGCACTTTGCAGCCAGACAGCCTGGGTGGGGTCATCTGTCCTGCTTTCCCCTTCCACATCTTCTAGCAGCTCCTCATCGCATGGACCACATGGTGTACAACTGAACACGCAGCTTCTTGCTTCTGAACCTACACTTGAATGCTTCTTAAGATACTGCTGCCGTCTTATTTTTACAGTTAGTTCCAAATTCCTGTTCTTTTCTTGTTAATAAATTCCTTTAGGGCAAGGACTATTGTTTTATTCATCTTTGCCAAATTCTCCAGTATCTCATAGCTGGCCTGGTGCATAATAGTTTGTGCACAGCAAATTCTAGTTGAGGGAATGATTTGTTAGTAGGATTGTTATGTTCAATTACTTCTTTGCCCATTTTAATCAAAGCTTGATACTTAACACCTGTTTGTTTTTTTGCAGCATGAGAAGACTTTGGGACATTCCATGAGTCATTCAAGTAACATTTCTAAGGTAGAGTGCTACTGAAATATGTTATTTTTGTAGCTTGGGGTTTTTATATTCTTATACCTGGCATGTGTTTACACTCTTCTCTTTTAAAGACATAAAGTTATCAGTTCATTACTTTAATCCGCTCTGGGACCATGTGAGGTAGTATATAGCAGTTATATTTTTCTAGTGAGGCAATTCTAGATTTGTGTTGGGGGGAGTGACTGATAGGAGAAAACCCCATTTCTTCCGGTAGAAATTGTTTACTTTCAGGTAAAAGAAATCTCAGAGAGTCACCAGAGAATCTGTCACCTCAATTAGGAATGCATTTGCCTGATGGTAATAAAAAACCAACTCTACTGACTTAAATAACTATAGATTTCTGTTGTTCTGATGACAAGATGCCTGGAGGTGGATGGTTCAGGGCTGACGCAGTGCTCACAGATGTTGTCGGGGATCTAGGCTCCTTCCGCTTTCTTTGTGCCACCTTCCTTGGCACGTTGTCATCCTCATGTTTGATCTCAAGGTGGGAGCTGGACCTCCAGGCACCCTGGCTGTGGTCTGTCAGCTGAGAGTGACCCTTTTCAACAGGAAGGCAAAAGCTTTCCCAGAAACGCCCCTCAGCTGCCTGACTTCTGCTTACATCTCACTGGCCAGAACTGGATCATAAGACCCCCGCCAACTGGAACGTGGCTAGGAAAAGGAGGGCAGAGGGGTGAATCGGCAGCCAACAGCACCTGATACACCTGTGGGGTAGTCACTTGAGTAGCCTGCCGGGAGCACATCAGATGCTAGGGGTGACCCCGGAGCCAGCAGATGGTGTCTCCCATGCCGTGAGCTTGCTCCCATGCACTGCTCATCTCTCAGCCTAGACACGGGCTCTAGCCAACCCGTTGTCCATACAGGTGTGTCTATGAAGGTTCCTTGCAAAGATGGATTTTCTCTCGCATCATGTCTGTGTCAGATCCTGACAGGAAGATCTGAATAGTGTGGCAAAACCTATTCTGCTGTCTCAGGCCTCTTAATTTCTCTAAAATAAGCAGTGACATTATATGCCAAATGTTTTTTATTCACATCACTCTATAGTATACTTTTGAATTAAAAGTAGAATGTAGAAAAGCCTTTGAGACGTCAGTCATCTGTTCTTAGGCATACTCGTGATCTAGTCATGTCATTCTGCCGCTGAATTTTGCATGAAAAGAAAAGTCCACAGTGCTTAGTGTGCCTAAAGGCCATTTACAGAGTTCTTCTTGGTTCACTGCTGACCTGACCTTCCCCCAGACCAGTGGAGGGTAGCTTCAGCCGCCTCATATAAATACCTTTCACCAAATACTCTCTGCTGTTCCAACCTCCTTTTCTTTTCTTTTGCTGTCCCTTCAGCCAGGAATGCTGGAGCTATAGAACTGTGTAGTGGTAGATCATTACTGTCTGAGTAAAATGGCCAGTTTTGCCCTACTACTTTTTGAAGGAGCTGTCCAACATATAAGCATAGAGAAAAGTAAGAAGGCATAGATCTAAATGGCCTGTCTGGTTAAGTTGAATTAAACATTTTAAAAGCACACAGTAGCACTCATTGCCTTGCTCCAATGGCTAAGAGCAGTTCTGAAGGATGTTGTTATCCTGTACCTCAGATATATGTTTCTTGTTTGTTTATGGTTTTAGTAAGATTTTATTTGAAGGAAAGTTTCCTCCTATAGTTAAAAAAGTTTGTAAACTCATGGCTTACAATGTCTAGAGGAACGTTTGTTGGGCTTGTCACAGGCCTGGAGCATGGGCCTTCTGAGTTGCTCTGTGAGGGTGTTAGAGGGTTAGGTGGACAAGGGTTTCTAGCCATGTGACTTTGAGGAAGGATACTCCTCTGAACTTTAATTTCTTGATGAGTAAAATTAGGGTAATTATACAACCTTCAGGCTTGCTCTGAGACTTAGGGATAATGTTGGCAAGGAGCCATGGGACAGCTTCCTCATTGCAATGAGTCAGTAAACTGACTCTCGTCAAACTTGGTTGAACCCTGGTGATCTTAGGTTGATTGGGTCAGGATAGTCCTTGATGGTAGCTATTATTATGTCATTACTGATCAAAGACAGAACCATAGGCAGACTTCGTTTTATGGCATTTCACTTTATTGTACTTTTCAAATATTGCGCTTTTTACAAACTGAAGGTTTGTGGCAACCTTGCATTGAGCAAGCCTGTCGGCACCATTTTTCCGACAGCATGTGCTCTCTTCTTGTCTCTGTCATGTTCTGGTAATTCACTAAACCTTTCAGACTTTCTCATTAGTAGTGTAACTGCTGTGGTGTCTGTGATCAGTGGCTGATGCACTAGCACGGCTTGCTGAAGCCTCAGACGATGGCCAGCAGTTTTTAACAGTATCTTTAAATTAAGGCATGCACTTTCTTTTTAGTTATAATGTTACTTCACAGTTAATGGAGTACAGTATAGTGTAAACGTAACTCTTATGTGCACTGGGAAACCAGAAAATTTGTGTGACTGGCTTTATTGCGATACTTGCTTTATTGCAATGCTCTGGAACTGAACTCACAGTATCTCTGAAGTATGCCTGTATATGCTTTAAGATAAATATCACCTGGGGGTGAAAATTAAGAAGTCTAATCAAAACTCTGGCTTTTTTCCTTTTTTCCTTCTTGCACACATTTTTATTGTGTGTTCTCTGTGCCAGGCACTGAGCTCTAGGTGCTAGCATAAAATGATGAGCAAAACAAACAAGGCCGCTGACATGGAGCTTTCCTGTAGGCAGGGTTGGAATTTTCTGAAAAAGAAGTTTTAGCTCCACACTTCCACACTCTTAGAAACAGGAGTACTGTGAAAGCCTCAAAGCTTTCAGAGCAGAAAGCAGATTTGGGTCTATTGCATTTCCACAGCAGGAGTTCCTGCACACTTAACTGGGATCAAAAGAAAACCTCAAGAGTGGGGAGTCTTGTGTGCTCACACCACTGACTTCCCAGTGATCCCCTCAGCATGAAATTTTGTTGTAAAATGTGAGCCTCCTTAAGTATGTTAGGCATGAACCAGTTAAATGGGGCTGCAGAACAGAGGGCAGGACTGCTGTGCAAGATAACTAGTTTTTTTTTGTTTTTTTTTTTGTTTTGCAGTACGCGGTCCTCTCACTGTTGTGGCCTCTCCCGTTGCAGAGCACAGGCTCTGGACGCGCAGGCTCAGCGGCCATGGCTCACGGGCCCAGCCGCTTCGCGGCATGTGGGATCTTCCCGGACCGGGGCACAAACCCGTGTCCCCTGCAGCAGCAGGCGGACTCTCAACCACTGCACCACCAGGGGAGCCCAAGATAACTAGTTTTTGAGAATGCAGTTCTTCCTTGTATTTATAAAATGGGCCTGTTGTTTGAAGCTACTTTTAGGCCAAGATATGTAAAACACTTATCTTCAGTGTAGCAAACATACTTAAGCAGATGCTTCATACCCTCGAGATGGAAGATACAAAGAAAGTTCAGACCATGGACATGTTTTATGCTACCTGAGATCTCTGCTGTCTTGTCAAGAGACTTTTCCTGCCACCTCAGCCTCTAGCTGGATTTCAGGCTAGTTTGTGCTCACATTAGTCAGTCACCTGCAGTCTGCATCATGCTCCTGTTAAAAAACTAGTACAAAATGTTCTTTCGATGTGTCGCCTAAACTCTTATTCTGTCACCCACCACTGGTCCTGATTCTGCCCTTTGTGAACTAGAGCTCTGACAGACAAGGGGATTTGGGAGGCTGTGTGGTGCAGAGAGGGGAAGGGCTAGAGGTAGGGTCTCTGCTGTAGGAGTGATGTTCAGCCCCTGGCTGACAGGTGGCCTTCACTCCCAGGGTGACTTGGAACACGGGCTGGTGGGGGGAATGCAGCGAGATACTGACACAGCCTTCGGGGGACTTGGGTGGTCACGGAGGCTGCTCCTGGAAGCCCTGCCACGTTAGGGTGAGATGACGTGACTCCCTGTCCAGGGGTGTTGTACCACCACTGCCCACCACCTGCAAGCTGTCTCATCACTCGGCATAAAGTATCCTCAGTTGTAACGTATACAAGGAGGCCCAGTGCAGCGTTTAGGAGTATTGCATGAGTTCAGATTTTGTCCAACACTTAACTGTGTGCAAGACATTATGCTTTGAATGCTGAACTAAACAGAGAAGAGAGGAATAAGCAGAGCGCCATAAAATACCCGCAGACAGAATTATTATGAAGGTGAAAGAAAAGGGGCTAAGGTACAGAATTATGAGGAACCGAAGTTAAAAGGGCTGCTCGGAGAAGGTATGGCTGAGGAGGGGATACTTAAAGCAGGACATAAAAGGTAAAAAGGAGCTGGCCAGAATGGGGTTAAACTGTAGTAGAAAACTGGTTTGTCACCTTCTTGGGAAATCCAGTTCTTTAGGTAAAGATGAAAGGCAGGTATTTGCAGCCTTGGTCACTGGGAGTGATGGCTGTCATGGCCACCCAGTTGCAAGGTACCTGTAAACCCTGGGGCTGTGCTGGTTGGGACCATTCCAGTGAGGACCACTGTACTTTGACCTAAAACCCTTTAGAGGAAGGTTAGAATTCCCTGAGGCGGCTTAAACTCACTCTGTCCAAATAGAATTTTTTAAGATAAAAGGAATTGGCCTAGGCCAGGTTCACTGAGGGGGCCGGGCTTTCTTGAGCCTCTGCTGATACCTCTCAAGGGAGCCTTATGTGCGGGAAAGGGCAGCACACAGACATGGCGTCAGTTTACTGAGAATGCTGAGGGAAGCATTCTTATTCAACCTGGGGAATTGGATTTGGTCCAGGTGACACAATTTCTTGAACAAGTTCATGATTGGCAGCACTTACCACAGGGTGATGGCAGTGGTAGGCTAGACATCCATCATGAAGCCTGGAGCATGGGTGCCCTCCTCCCTGCAGCCAAGCAGGTTCACTAAGCTCCAGCAGTTGCTGAAGAGTGGTACCTGGCAGAATATTTTAGAGCTCTGCATAATTTTATTCAGATACCATGAACATTATGTGCCTGCCTCTGGTTAATCAAGTATTCCTGGG